TATATGTAGGCCTATATACTGGGCCTCTATACTATATATTGCTACGCCTTATAAGACCCAGCACTTACTACATCTCTCAGACGTTTTTTCTACCTGGTATTTAACTATTCCCACTCTGATATATCCTCTACCGAGGATATCTTTCGCCACCCTCACAGGGACTACTACTGTGGTTGCCTGGGTGTCTCCTTGTAGCGGTCTTAAATCACCCATTTTGTAGATGTTCTCTTACTTGCCCCATTGTTCATCGAAGGCCTCTTATTATTTCTTGTTTAGTGGCATACGCTGACGTGCCCCTAATGTATAGGGTAACGTTATTTCCTTCATCCCTAACTGGAAAACGAGGTCTGATTTCGTGGTACCAATCGTCTTAATGACCATTTTTACCGTTTAAAGAATCTGGTTGTAATCTACATCTTTCGTGGAGACTGTCATACCATGCCATACGTGGGAGACTCTGTTCTTTATGTATTCGTGTAGACTAGCACCTCCGTTTTAGTTTTCTGGAAGACGGCCTCGCACATCTTCCTGATGTCTCCAACAGTGAGGTGGCTGACTGGGTGTAACGGCACTTTACCTCCCAGACATCTCTTCTTTTACATTCAGGAGGTTTTTCTAAAGATTTTTCCAGTCTCTTGTTAGTTTGATTTTCATGATCTTTCTAATCTCAGTTTCCTTATTTCCTATTGTTTTTGACTGCTCTAGGACCTCGTATAGGTATTATAGACTTTCTAAACGTTTTATTTATTATAAACGTTTCGGGTCACTGTCCCTGTACATTCTTTGAATATTCTTCTGCATAAATACGTCCCTTGGCTCAACTAAGACCACTTTCGTAGTCTTGTTGTCTGTTTCGGTTGGGTTCCCGATAAGTATCTTTATTCTGGCGAAGACTTTTTTCTCTCACCGATGACCCACTAAGGCCTCATAATCTTTAAGGGTCTTGATTTCTCTTTATTTTTGATGTTTGCTTTCGGACCTCCATGTCACGGATCGTCTGAGTATCCGCATATACAATTATTTTTTCAACTGGCTCGTATATGTGTTTCTTTAGCCAGTCTATTACGAGGTCTTTTTTTTTAATAATTTATAGGTTTTTTCCAGTTTTGCCACTTCTTTTATGCCTTTATGTTTATTAGGGACCTCTACCATCAATCTGATGAGGTTTGATAATACAGCTAGCAACATGTATATTAACACAACTACACAGCATTAGCTAATCCTCGGGATAGAAAATAAACCCAAAAAAGAAATGGTGTATTGATTAATAAACTACACAATTATTGAGTTTATTTTTATGACTAGTTCATCTTATAAAACCATGCTTTTAGAAAATAACGACACTATATAGCCAGAGAAGAACTTTTTCTGCTGAATCATATTTTGTCATAATTCAGCCGCCAAAGTTTATGTTGGGACAACTGCACAGCGATACCCAATCTTCTTTTTTAGGCTATCCCAGTGAACTTTTGGGAACACATTTTGTCTTGTCTCAGCAATCAATGTTTAGTTACTCAATCTTTGGAACAGTAGAAAGGTTTAAGAAAAAAGAAATATTATACTAGATGGCTAACTAAGAAAAGTTCTCACCCATAGTCGGGAATGAATTATAATATAGGCTCAGGATAATAAATTTTATAATAAAAGTCAGCTCCAGAAAAACATAAAAATTATTTAGTCTTCAAATAAGAGGTGGGGGAGGGTTGCACCCTTATTGTAAAAAAAAACGCCTGTATATAGAGTTTTGCTTAACCGATCTTTACAAACTTGGTCTTATTAAAAAAAAAAACAAGTTTAGAATAGTGGTTACAATTTTGACAAATTTTTATACATAAAATGTACGTTAAAAAGCTCTATTCTTTGCTTTTTAGAAATTTAACTATGGGTTAGAAGGTTTTAACTATGGGTTAGAAAAGCAGAATAAATTATCAACAAAATAGCGAAAACCCCAAATCGATATCTTTTCCTATCTCGAGATAAGGAATATAATTCTTGCAAACGATAGGTTATCAATTTACTTCGAATCCATGATAAATGTGACTATTGATGCTAAACTGTATCAGCCATTGGGATACGTTGAGAAGGCAGAGGAACAGGATTCTGATAATGTTTTAAATCGTCATAATATAAACTGTTGTTCTGAAATGAATTTCCACTGAAATGACTTAGCTGTCATTTTAATTTTTGTTTTAAATTTAATGTTAATTTATGACAGCTCGTTTTAGTATTTTAGATATTGATCTGTTTTGTTAAAAAAAAAAGGTTAACCTCCATGCAATTTTGTAAGTTTTGTAGCACTAGAGTTTGTAAACAGATGACACATGTAAGTGTTTTTGTATATTTGAGGTAATATTTTTTGCGTTGTCTTATTATTGTAACTGTTTGTGGTGACACAACAAGAAATGTTAAATTTTGTTTCTTAACATTTTGTCTATTTGTTTTTAAATTTATCCCTTTTTTCAATAGTATCCCAAGTTATCGTTACAAAAATGTCGCCCAGGTATGTTTTGATTTCTTAATAATTATTTCCCTAGTTACAACTAGCTGTTGTAATAGTTATAATTAGGCACCTCGAAGTGGCGCCCTATATTAAATTATTAGAGGTGTTTTCATGTTTCTTTTTATTTTGTTTGTCCCAAGAGATTATGTTAGTAGCCATTTTGTTTCTTTTCTCTGCAGTTGCCCCAAACCATTTGTCATTTACTTATCCACGACCCCAGCTCTCCTAACAAACCCTGAGTGCCGTTCGCATATGTTTCGATTATTTATTGGCGCCCAATCACATCTTGGAGCAACTTCTATAGCCCATCACTTTCATTTACATTATTCATATACATTTTTTATTAATTTATCGTTAATTTTTTCATTTTACGGTCTTTGTAAGGCGTGCAAATTGGCCGAATCCCCCATTGAGTGTCAAGTAGTCACTTTGCGGCACATTCTGCTATTCAGCGTTAATATATTGGTATATTGGCGCTCTATTGTAACTTGTTACATTAGCTCAAATACTTTTATTACATCCCACATACACACATTTTTGTTACATTGGCGTCCAACGCCAACACTGACACATTTTTTTACAATCTGACCTACAATTTTATTCTAGTCGTAAATACACTTTTATGTATTTTTAAAAGATTATAGTTGAATAGATAATCCTACAATAAAAATTAATTTATATTATGTGATTTAAAATTATCGTTATCTTACCTAGCATATTTAGCACAAATAAAGTAAATCCATTCTTAACCGTCTTGGATAAAAAATATATTACAATAAAAATATTTATATTAAACATTTAAATTTTTATTTACAGCTGTTTATAAATCACAATCCTGAGAATTCATAGAGTCTTCTGACTCGTTGGCGCCAATCCTTACTATTACAGGTTTAATAACATTTCCACTATACAATTCAGCTTCCACATTTTCTCTTCTGTTTTCAATACATGGCCAATAGTGCTCTTCCAATTTGTAGGATGTATGTATATAATCTATACTGGTTTGTAATAGGCGCTGAACATCGCTAATTTTAAATGTTACGTGATTAGTTCTGCTTTGACTATATCCTCTGTAAATAAAATATATTTTTCTCGTTGCTAGCTCTGCATGATGGATTTTCTATCAGTCATCGTTGGAATACGTTTAAAAAGGCGGCTGTGGTAAAATGCATTATTCAATACTATGACAGATTTACTATATGCACGCTGGAGAATATTCTCGAACCACTTCTTGAATCATATGGAGTTCATGTATTCAGATAAACTGACCCCACTTTTCTTTGATGTAAAAACAAGAACACCATTTTGCAGAAAACCAATATCGCTGCCAATATAGCGATAGTTAGACGCCGGCCCTTTCCTGACGGCGATCGCAACCTTGTCAATAAACCTTCAAGAAAGGTGATTTGTTACTGTACTGAGTTGGAGCCCTATTTTCAAAGAAAAATGAATGTCCAGTTCTGCGGAGGATTTTTTGGGCTTCATCCACCTTAACAGGTTTCCGTCAGCGTTGATTTGCAGCTGGAGGTTTAAAACCATTTGTTAGTTTTTTCTCGCGCACAATACGTTTAACTGTTGCCACTTCTACTACTGTTAAAACTGAAAAGCGACTAAAAGCTTTCGTTGAAGGTAGTGTTTTTTAGTCGACCATATACCTTCCAAATAATTTATTTTTTTGTCTTATGAGACGGGTCTATCATGTGGATGTCATGGACTTTATATGTCACTCGACACTGAAGACTAGGCAGATTGAGACCTCAGTGCCGAGAGACAGTTCTTGTATCTATAATACAGAACACGATACTGGTACGTTTCGAGAGAGCGGAGTAGGCAGACCCCGAACTAGAACTGAAAACCGTATCCCTCTTGATAACGGCTCCAAAATGAGAGCCGAAACGTCGAGCGTTAAATTCTCAACGCGGTTCTTCCCGAGAACCTAGTGATTTTCATATATAATATGTATATATATAATATATAATATATATATATATATATATATATATATATATATATATATATATATATATTTCACGAGAAACTGATGGAATATACGAAAAATCGTGTTACTTTCTTTTGTATATTCCACTAATATTTTGTCTCACTTCAAAATAAAAAACTAATTAACAAAATAAGTACGATAACTATTAAGACAAAGCAATCGAACACACATTTAACAGCCGATACTATAACGACAACTATAAACATAAACACTGATTGCAAAAACTGTTCGCATGTTTTAAATAACACAGTCGTATTGGTGGACCTTATAGTCGGTACTTTTGTCTCTAGTCAAAAGGTAATTTAACTCTCCAAGGTAAGTACTAAATGTTTCTCATCCCTTTAAATTATCTTTTTAAAATTTGACTAAGCTTGTTCAATCCAGTTTTATTAAAAACAAATCTAGTTTGTTGCCAGCTCTTCTGAACTCAGTTTGTTCTGCAATTAAATAGATTATCCTGGAATAATTGTTGCTATTTTCATGTTTTATCCAGAAGTTTATGTTTGAACAACTGCAAACAAAAATCTGCCTACTCAGAAAAATAATACATAAGTAAAAGAAAGAATTACTGCATTAATAGATAAACAACTTATTATTGAGTTTATTTTTATAATTAATTCATACTCCTTTAAATATTCTTTTACAATCAAAAAATAAAAATAATATCGAGCTAGCTAAGTTTTCCCTCTAAAACATGTTTTTCCTAATCATTGGAATATTGGAGAGGTCCTTTATAACTACAAAAATGTAAGATTATTTTCGACATTTAGAGAAAAATGGGCCATAACTAAAAAGTAACTTTACTTGGCAGTTTGAAAAATAGCATTAACAACAAAACTGTTGAACTTGAGCTGCCGCAATACGCCAAAACCGATAAAAAATATTCTTGCGTATCTGGACCTTTCTATATTGTTTGTCAATTATAAAACGCGTCATAAATTAAACTAATTGTTAGTTCTATGATCACTTCCACGTAATTTTATCATTAATCACACATTACGTCACTAGCAGGACATATTTTATATCCGGTCTCGAAGGAACTTAAATTATGTTTCATATAAAAATAACATACTTAAATGAATAAATAAAAATTGTGTAATAACTAAACAATTGAAATAAAAACAATCATCTTCTAATCATTCTGGAAGGTGCAGGCATCAATTTGGAACGAGGCAGGCATTGGTCTATAAATTGGAGCAGATATTCGTTCGTAACGGGATGTATAATGCTCTCACATACACCTAAAAAAATAAAAATAAATCGTTATTAATTACTCTAAACTCAAAATTAATATCTTCATTATAAAGTCATTAATTAATGACAGCATCATCATCAGTGACAATTAACAGATAAAAAACTTACAACGCGAAAAAAATTTTAATTTTGTTTACTTACCTAATGCAGTGTCCCTGTGGTTTGGAAATGACTTATCAGTTCTCTCCCTCATAAACTTCCATTTATTGTCTTCAAATTTACATTCAATTATTTTATTATCTAAACCTTTTAGCTCTTTCGTCCATTGCGTAATTGCAAAAGGTTCCACTTGTTGTGAGACAAATAAGTAAGCTACTTTCTTCGGGATTTTTCTAAAACACAAATTTATTCTTATAAGGAATATTTGTAAAAAGTGTGATGTGATCTCTGGATAAGCGGACTTTAACGTAAGATGGAGTGAAAAACACCTTTTTAAAAAGAGAGAGGTATATTAGGTCTGCCTAGGTATATCGCCAAAAATGCATTAGTGGATATAATAAAAGAGGGGAAGTTCAACGTTGCCAAACTTATTGGTTTTATTTTACCTATTGTCTTTTTAGCATTTGAACAATGTTCTAAGATAATCAAATTTGGGCGAATTGATTCATAATGATTGGGCTTCGTGTTTTTTATTGGGAATATGTCACATATTTACTTTACAATAAGTGTAATTTAACATTTTGATTTCCACTTCAGAAATCGTTTTATATAAATAAAATTTATTAATGTTTCATATAAGTATGATTTCCGAATTGGAAATCTAAACATCAAAATAAGCTTATTTTAAAGTCACGTTGTGCCTTATTCCTAATAAAAATAATAAACTGCATGTAACTGCTTTTATCGTTAACGCAACTGAACCGTTTTTCGTAAACAAGTAACTAGTTGAAAAACTAGGTAAATTATTCATTTAGTTGATTGTTTAACAGTAGTTTCAAGTAAGAGAGTACATAAACAAACATAATGGCTATTATCGTTTATGTGTATATGTATTGAAGTGAAAGAAACTAAACAATACAAAGAGTAAATCGTACTTACATTTACATTACACGTTATTATTAAATTGCGAATCGTCTAAATTGATATTTAAAAACAAGTTTTTCTACTTTACTTGTTTTTAACCGCGTTCCTGTTTTATTTCAAATTAAACCAGATTTTGAACATGTGTTCACATTTACAATATTTTATGAATATGGTGGTTAACTTACAATATACATGGCGATGGTTTTTCCACCACTGTAATGGTCAGTTCCAATCTCCGTTCGAATTTTTTGTGGGTAATATATCATCTGTCCTCAAGCGCGACTAGTACGTGCTCGAGACGCATCGCTCCGCCCCTCATTTTTCCTATTGGTTCCTGACCTGGAAATCCCTATTTATCGCTACATCAGCGTGTATAAAAATAGGCGATTTTCAGGTCAACCAAGTCAGTCCCTCATGGGCTCTCCGAGAGCTTAGTGCTCTCGGGGCTCTGCTTTCTTTTTAGATTTCCCATACTCTGTGGCTGAGTATTTTATTCTACAAATTTGATGTTTTATTTCGACAACCTTAGTAGAGTAAGAAATTGTTATTTAAGAAATATCTTGCCTTTTTCAAGAAAAGTCATCGAAGACGACGATCTGAATTATTTCGACGAAGAGAAATTTTGTCCTGTAAGAAATAGCTCGTCTTTTTCAAGACGAGCTCATCGGAAGAAAACTTTTTACGAATCCAGACCATTTAATGGGTATTACATCATTGGGTTTCCAGTAAGAAAAGAAGAAAAAAAGAAAACATCTTTTCTTTTTTTTCCCGAGTTGTAGGAGATTGTAACGAAACGATCGTTACTTACAATAGCTACTAATTTGCGCCGCAAACTAGGCAACCTATAACACAATTGCATACATCGATTTACAATAAAATCTACTAATTTGCGCCGCAAACTAGGCAACCTACAGGGTGGTAAATCGTCAAACGGGCCATAGGAAACTCAATGAGAAATTCTAAATTGTTGAATTCCTGCTTCCCTAATTATTTTACACCAAAAGTCATAGGAAACTATTTGTAGAGGACTCAAATATGTATCGAAAACAATTGTTAAAATTGTTCTACGACTTAAACGTATTCCAAAATTTTGCTAAACTATAATACATTTTTCAGGCCACCCCTAAAAGTCAGGCCAGACGCCGTGAAAAGAATGTGTATTACGTGTTGCGTTTTATCATATTGACGTTTCTAATATTTGACAATATTTAAATCGAGTATATATTTATCTATGATTTAAATGGCCAAAATTTTGTGACTTATTATTTAAAAGACACATTAAGTTGATTAAAAAATGTACTCAGTTAAGGAGAAAAGAGCAATAATAAAAATGTTTTATTCATGTTCTATTATAACATTTGTTATAGTTTTATGTTTAGAAATTATCGCATATTATTATTAGGAATAAAGATCACAGTAACAGTATATTGGAATTCATTGAATTGTTGTATAACTTAACATGGAATTAAATTTTAGTGTATTAGAATATGAGGTTAGTCTTCGTAAGTGGGTATATTTATTTAAAAACCCTTAAAAGGGCTACATCAAAAAAACAAACGTTTTCGGACTAAACAGTCCATCATCAGGTTTAAAATCGCCTAAAATAAGTATAAATCATTTAGTTAAAACAAACGTGGTTATGAAATTTTGACTATGGTTAAAAAAGCAAAATGGCTATACTTACTAAGTTAAAATGCCTGAGCCACCAAAAATACATGTGTAAAAACCCTTTAAATTACATATAGTTGTAAAAGATTATACATCTTGTTGTTAAAAAACTGTGATGTTCATTATTAAATTAAATATGACTTCAGGTAACATACATTGCAAAAAATTGAGTTCCAGAGCCCGAGAGAAAACCTCTACGCACGGAGAACAGCTGGAAACTGATTTACAATATACCTATGAAAGGTGTCAAAAACAAAATGTCAATGTAACATAGAACTATATTAGTTATACCTAGTATTACTACAGCCAAAAGATTCAAAAATTATTTTTGATGATTTTAAAAAATAATAACAGCGATATAGGTGTTGGGATTTAAAATTTGGGTTATAATCGATGTGAAATCACCAATGGTGTTAAAGTCATGTTTAAGAGGATGACCTGTGTATTAGGCAACCTATGTTGCTTTTTGTCGTATGGAATATGGTCTAAAAGTGTATTTTATGTTAGATTAGCTTATATATATGAAAATTATCCTTTTATGTTTATCACATCTAGGACAGGTAAAAATTTTAATAGTAAATATTAATAGTCTGTTTGTTACATAATATCCCTCAAAAATTTTTTCTAAAATTAGATCTATATGAAGACTTGGAAATAGTCAAAGAAAAGCAAAGTAGCCCCAATTGCGTTAATCGTCATGTATCGTTCAACCGGGACTTTCAACCCTTACATCGACAACTCTTCTCATAGTCCACGCTTCACAATATTGCCTTACTTTCTTTGCCCGTCTATCCTACACAAACTTCAACACCTTTAATCCTATACAATATGTGTGTTTCTTTAAACAATCTTCCTCTACAATATTGCCACACCTTCACCTTAAAAATTTTCGACCCCATTGTTAACTTCAGAACCATCCATATCTATCATAACAACATATTTCAACATTTTCTCCACTCTTCACATCTACATCACATTCCTATCCATTCTTTTCTCTTTCATTATTTCTTGGTCAACTCATTTATCAAACATGTACTCAATATTTTTAACTATTTATTCTCTCAAACATTATCTAACATTTTATCAAAATTCATATTATTGGTGCTTCTTCAAACAACCGGTCTCTAAACTTTTGCCACTCCTTCCCCTCATCACTTTTCGACCTAGTGTTAACTTTATAACCACCCACATCTATCATACCATAATATTTTATCATTTTCTTCACCCTTCACATCTACATCACATTCCTGTCCTTTCTTTTCTTTCATTATTTCTTGGTCAACTCATATATCTAACATGCACTCAATAGTTTTAAAGTCAGTAATCATTCAAACATCATCTAACTGTTTTTTCAAAATTCATATATTTTTTCCCCTAATAAAAAATCCTTATCCAACATTGCTCACCTTCTTCTGGTCAACAACTAAGTAGCACACTTATACATCAAATTTTAGATTTTTACAAACCGAATTTATTACTACTAAAATACATTTTGTTCAGGGTGCTAGATGCTGTAAGCATAAAGGACCCCTATTATCTCTAATTGTTGATTAACTCCTTTTCTCCTTTAACCATCCCCTCCTTCTTCAGTCATTTCCTCTACTACTTCTCATCAAGTCTCTGAGGAGCTCAGCCTCTTCAATTTTAAATTAATCACATAGGTTATAACTCTGATTTCTTCAGCCTGTAGATTTTCAATTTACCAAACTTGTTTTTATTGTTTTTATTAATTTCTCACCATACTAACAGTCTTAAATAGTCATTTAAATACAAGGTCTTATATTAGCTTCAAATATTTACTATTAAAATTTTTATCTGTCCTAGATGTGATAAACATAAAAGGATAATTTTCATTTATATAAGCTAATCTAACATAAAATACACTTTTAGACCATATTCCATACGACAAAAAGCAACATAGGTTGCCTAATACACAGGTCATCCTCTTAAACATGACTTTAACACCATTGGTGATTTCACATCGATTATAACCCAAATTTGTAAATTGGTAATTGTAAATCAGTTTCCAGCTGTTCTCCGTGCGTAGAGGTTTTCTCCCCGGCTCTGGAACTCAATTGTTTGCAATGTATGTTACCTGAAGTCATATTTAATTTAATAATGAACATCACAGTTTTTTAACAACAAGATGTATAATCTTTTACAACTATATGTAATTTAAAGGGTTTTTACCCATGTATTTTTGGTGGCTCAGACATTTTAACCTAGTAAGTATAGCCATTTTGCTTTTTTAACCATAGTCAAAATGTCATAACCACGTTTGTTTTAACTAAATGGTTTATACTTATTTTAGGCGATTTTAAACCTGATGATGGACTGTTTAGTCCGAAAACGTTTGTTTTTTTGATGTAGCCCTTTTAAGGGTTTTTAAATAAATATGCCCACTTACGAAGACTAACCTCTTTTTTTGTAATACGTGGTATACAGCCAGCTACAGGAATTGTTTTCCTTGTGGATTTTATTAGAATATCTTACTTTAAATAAAGATCCGGTAGTGACAGGAAAAGGTTCGCGCTATTGCCTGAATACAACATTATGCGATTTTTCCTCAACTGAGTACATTTCATTATATTGATCGATTTGTAAACAATATAATCTATTGTTCACAAAGTAATATTGTTCA